GTATCCAAATGTAAATCACATGATGCTGCCACGGTCACAAGTGTGAAAAATGGTCACAAGCCACTGTTTTCAGTGCCGTTTTAACTTTGAACGGTCACTAAATGGACTGTTATAAGTCAAGGATTAAGTGTAATAGACTTTGTGTCAGTGATTGGATTGCATCAGCTAAAGAGTTGCATTCTTCCCTCAGTTTGTCTTCTGCTGAGGTCTATAATGACAGGAGTTTCCATAAGTGACTTAGGTTGTCACACACTTAATGACCACCACTGCTTTCCCCAGGTCATGTGATTAAAATTCAGGTGTCAACTCATAAAACATTTTGTATACATGTTTTATAGTTGCCAACAGAAAGAAGTGGGAGGGGGGAGTGTCAAAGAGCAGGTGGCAGTGTTGAATCGAAAGTACATTCCATTCATATTTTCTTCAAAGACTGATTAGATGGCTGAAGCTTCTGCCATGAAAAAAATCTAATTGGAGAGCATGATTGATGACTCTTGGCTATGGATGTGTTTCGTTGGATGATACACCCAGAGGGGTGAGGGGAAAAGCAGGATCAAGGGTGACAGTGAATTACATATCTCAGAGTTGGCTACGCCCAGATTAGTGCTGGACAGAGAATGTTAACTTCAAATAAATCCTCTTTAGTTTTGGGAGTGTGGCTTGAGGCTCATGATTTGGTTCTTGGCAAGTAACTCACATTTATGACAGTTGCCGTACTCCAGGATCATGTGATCTCAACTTTTGCAACCTTCTGACAAGAAAAGTCAATGGGGAAGCCAATATTCACTTAATGGCTGTGTTACTCACTTAAAAACTGCAGTGGTTCAATTATCTACTGTGCCAAGATAATGGGACAAAATTCACTTAGCGTAACTCTCTTGCTCAGCAACAGAAACCCTGGAGTCGATTGCAGTCATAAACCAAAGACCACCTGCTGTCTGAAATGTCTCCATCCACTTGTAGCACATTAGTGGAGGGGATTTTCTTAAAAAAAAAAAAAAAAGAATTTCCCCCATCGTTTTATTTATTGAATTGAAATTGGTGCTCTTTTTCAGATTTGGCAAAGGGTTTTTTTTTAAAGCTTTTGTGGGAAATTCCATAAATGTGATTTGCCAATTTTATTTTCTGATAGGTCCAACAAGCCCTATTCTGCATTTATTGTTTGTTTGTTTTTTCCTTCCAAAATGCTAACAGTTGGTCAAAGATGATTGATTTCCAGTGTTTGGAAACTAAAACTTCAAATTTCCTATCTCTGGACGAAGAAAAAGAAATGTTGTGATTGTCACAGTATGAAGTAATTAAGAATGCAGGAAGCTGCCTGGATTAGCAAAAGCGGTTGAAATAAATTGTTATATTTGAAATGTCTGCTGAGATCCTAAACGATAAGGCTGGGAACCATCTGTTTCATAGAGGCAGGTAATGGGGCATCACTGTAGTAGCACAGAATATTACCATCTTGTAAGATATATATAGATCCAATGGATTAGCCAAGCAAGTGGAATTATATTTGTTTTGTTTTTAAAAGCACTTATATCCAGTTTCCTTATTTGAGCTTGTCTTTCCCGTGTGTATAGAAGTGAGGTCAAGTACTTCTTTCTTTCTATTCTGGAGGTTGAAAATTTGTTGTAGTTATTATTAGGGTTCCTGTCCAAGAGGCTGTGCCGACAAAGATTCATTTCTGGTGGAGTTTGGAAGAGAAAAAGGAAGGCCTGCTGCTTCTGCTGCTTTCCTTGCATGAAGCTAAAAGTCTT